TAGCTCAGTAATAAAGTCACTCCTGAGGTTCACCCTTCAACCAAAACTTAGGCCCATAAAACAAAATGAGACTAATGGGGCACAACAGCCCAGGGACAAGGACTAGAAGGCAAGAGGGGACAGGAAAGCTGGTAATAGGGAACCCAAGGTCAAGAAGGGAGAGTGTTGACATGTCATGGCGTTGTTAGCCAATGTCATAAAACAATATGTGTACTGTTTAATGAGAAACTATTTGTTCTGTAAACCTGCATCTAAAGTGCAATTAAAAAAAATTTATATTAAAAAAAAAAAGAATAGGACTGTGCTCCATGGGGTTTAAATGGCTGATTTTTCAGAAGTAGATCAGCAGGCCTTTCTTCTGAGGTACCTCTGGGTGGACTCAAACTTCCAATCTTTCAGTTAGCAGTTTGCACCACCCAGGGACCTCTCACAGGACTGTGTTAAAGTGTGTCAGGGTGTGGTTACTGCACAGAAGGGTGTAGATGGAAGGGGTCCTCCCCACCTGGGTCACCCCCAGACCCTCTCTATAGATGGGATCCCAGGAGAAGCTGGTGCTTAGCCAAAATGACATTCCTGCTGTTCTCTTGGGTAGAATGCGACGTATCTCCACCTGAGCTGCCCCCCAGGAACATCCCTTTGTCTGCTGGGCCCTGTGAAGCCAAGGAAGTTCCTCTTTCAAGCGAGAGTCCCCGAGTGCCCGAGGTCAGCAAGCCGACCCTCTCTGAGACGTTACTTCAGAGGCTGCAGAGCATCGACACTAGTGGGTGAGTCTCCCACAGGCCAGCTTTCCCCGGGTGCCCACAGCTCCCAACACTGAGCTCCGAGGAACATGTGAGCCCTCACCCCGAAGGGAATGATGTCTTTAGTCTTTCAGCCAACATCTTGTTAATTCTTATTTATTTCATTGTTGTTGTTGCTAGATGCTGTCGAGTGGGTTCCGACTCATAGTGACTGTATGTACAACAGAACAAAATACTGCCCGGTCCTGTGCCATCCTCACAATCATTGCTGTTTGAGCCCGTTGTTGTAGCCACTGTGTCAATCCATCTTGTTGAGGGTCTTCCTCTCTTTCGCCGATCCTCTACTTTACCAAGCATGATGTCCTTCTCCAGGGACTGGTCCCTCCTGATAACATGTCCAAAGCATGTGAGATGAAATCGCGCCATCCTTGCTTTTAAGGAGCATTCTGGTTGTACTTCTTCCAAGACAGATTTGTTCATTCTTTTGGCAGCCCATGGTGTATTCAATATTCTTCATCAACACCATAATTCAAAGGCTTCAATTCTTCTTCGGTCTTCTTTATTCATTACCCAGCTTTCACATGTATATGAGGTGATTGAAAACACCATGGCTTGGGTTAGGCGCATCTTAGTCCTTAAAGTGACATCTTTGCTTTTTAACACTTTGAGGAGGTCTTTTGCAGCAGACTTGCTCAATGCAATGCATTTTTTGATTTCTTGACTGCTGCTTCCATGGGTGTTGATTGTGGATCCAAGTAAAATGAAGTCCTTGACAACTTCAATCTTTTCTCTGTTTATAACGATGTTGTTTATTGATCCAGTTGTGAAGATTTTTGCTTTATGCTTATAAAGATGATGGACAAGCATAGGGGTTAGGATCTACAACACATATTTTGAAAGGACACAAATCAATCCTTAACAAGGGGCATGTCCTGCGAGGGGTGCTTGTGGTCTTGCAAATCAGAGGCCCCTGCATCGTCTTCCAGACAGGGCAGGGGGATCAGCTTTAACAAGTTGGAAGCTCTGAAGGGTATGTGTGTCCCCCGTGCCTAGTATGATGTCCAGCATAGAGCAGGCACTCACTAGATATGTGTTTACTGAATTAATAAGTTAGTACGCAATCACTTTCATGATAAAGAATTTAAAAAAAAAAAGAAAAATTTTTTGTTCTTGTTGTTTCTTTGTGAGAAAAAGGCCCCCACAGGAATTCTTAATGGCAGGGCTAAAGCAGCATCTCCAACTTGCAAGATCAGTCTGAGGATGCCACAGCTGTCTCTTACACTCTGATTTGGCAAAATGCAAGTGGGAATTCCTGAAGGTACACATGAAGACACCCTGGTTGCTAAGATACCTAGTGTTTTTCTATTTCCACCTCGGAATATCCTCCAGGCTCACCAGATTATGTTCTCCGCACATTCCTTGGAATTATTTGTGCTATTTATCAAATAGCTGAATACCCAGGGTTTTGAATAGGTTCATATATTGTTATGACTGTTCCGATACATGTGTCTAAATAACAGATGCTTGTTGAAATATTCCACGTGGAGCCATTGTTTAGTTTTCTTGGTGTCTCAGTCTCTTAGGGCTGCTGTAACAAAATGCCAAAAAGTGGGTGGCTTCAAAGAACAGAAATTTATTTTCTCACAGGTCTGGAGGCTGGGAGTCCAAATTTAAGGTGTCAGCCTTGTTAATTCCTTCTAAGGGCTTTGAGAGAGGAGCTGTTTCTTGCCTGTGTCGGGTTTCTGGTGGCCGCTGGCAATCCACGGCATTCCTTTGCCGCTTATAGATGCGTCTGCCTCTGTTGTCCCGTGGTGGCTGTCTTCCTCCTGTGTGTGACTCTGTTGCCATGTCTGTCCTTCTCTATAAAAACGCCACTCAGGAGAGATTAGAATTAGGACCCACCCTACTCCAGTGTGACTTCGTTAACTGACAACATCTTCGAAGAAAACCCCTATTTCCAAACAATATCATATTCACAGATGCAGAGGGGAGATGTCAACATATCTTTTTGGGGGACACAATTCAACCCATAACACTTAAGTTTGCATTTCTCCCCTGGTTCAGATGTTAAACGCAGAGAAGTCCTTGGGGAAGCAGTCAAGGGGGACCCTCCATCTGCCACTCCTCCCAGCTCCCCACATCTCATCAGTCCTGGTTATGGATTGAATTGTGTCCCCCCAAAATATGTGTTATAACTCCTAACCCCTATACCTGTGGCTAAGGAACCCTGGTCGCACAGTGGTTAAGTGCTCAGCTGCTAACCCCCATAGGGTTTCCAGGGAGTGGTTGGCGGATTCAAACTGCTGACCTTTTGGTTAGCAGCCCAGCTCTTAACCGTTGAGCTCCTACAGCCTTGGAAACCCTATGGGGCAGCTCTACTCCGTCCTATAGGGTTGCTATGAGTAGGAATTCGACTAGATGGCAGTGGGTTTAGGGTTTGGTTATACCTGTAGATGTAATCCCATTTGGGAATGGGTTCTCTTTGTTATGTTAATGAGGCAGTATTCATGTCGGGTGTGTCTTAAATCAATCTCTTTTGAGATATAAAAAGCGCAGATTAAGCAAGCAAGCAGAGATGGGGAGGATGGATGCTAAAACCACATGAGATCTCCAAGGAACCAGCAAACAGAAGCTGAAAAGAGACAAGGACCTTCCCCCAGAGCCGACAGAGAGAGAAAGCCTTGCCCTAGAGCCAGCGCCCTGAATTTGAACTCGTAGCCTCCTAAACTGTGAGAAAACAGAATTCTGTTCGTTAAAGGCCCGTATTTGTGGTATTCCTGTTACAGCATCACTGGATAATGAAGACAGTCCCCATCTCCTAATCAGTCCTTCCTCTCAGGCACAGGTGTTAGCCTAGCCGCAGGGCTTCAGTGGGGCAGGACAAGAGAGAAAGCCAAGCGTTCCCTCAAGTGAGAGAGAGAGAGAGAGAGAGACAGTGAGAGAGAGAGAGAGAGACAGCGAGAG